AAAACATGTCCAACTGACACCTCAGTTATTTTTAAAATTGAAATTGCAGGTTTTTGTTATTTTTTGATGCAACCGTTCAGTGAGAGGCTATAGAATGTGAGCCCGAGAGTAAAACAGGCTACTCTTACTCTTTTTTTTTGTTCCAGAGGCTAAAACCTTCAAAACTTTCTTTTATCAACCCTCTATCTTTTTAGTCATAATGCTTGCATGCAGATAGTCCACATAGGTTCATACATATGCATGGAAGCACTCACACTCTCCTCACTACACCTGATAGAGGGATTTAAAAAATCTGGGATTTATGACTGCATCCTGCTTTTTTCCTCTAAAGATAATATCTCCAGCACATTTTCTGCAGCATGGTGAGCCATGAACTCAAACTACTACCTTCTTAACTGTTTTCCTCTCATCCAATCTACACAGAGACGTTAAAAAAACAAAGCCTAAGTGCACATTCGTCCCGATAGAACCACAGAACAAGAGCTTCTCTGCAATTAGATTAACAGCCACCCACTTTGAAATGGCTTGTTTGAAGATAACATTTCACAGAGGAAACGTTAATGTAAACTATTCCTACTCTTCTTCTTTTATTTCTGTTGCTTTTGTGGTCCATCAACAGGCCTGAAGATGTAACATTCACCCTTCACTCCCCTCGTGTGTTGTAAAAATGAACGTCTCCTTTTAAACATGAACACACACTAAAGCCTCGCAAACCCGTCTCTGTCCTCCTCTACATCCCTCAGCCCCACCCACCTCCCTCTTCACATACTCTGCATACCTCCCGTGCTTTAATAGGAGGAGGCTATCTCCAGTAAATGTTGTTCTAAAGATGGATAGATGGGTGGATGACTAGATGGATAGATAGCAGTAGAGATGTGGCCACAGAGAGGCAGCCTGTCCTCACAGCTGTTCACACAGGTCACTTTAATCAAGTGTAGAACAGGCGGGATCAGGGCCGGGCACCACAGATCCTGCCTCAGCTGCCTGGGAGGGGACGTGCCCGACTGCCAAAGGGATTAACAGAGAGAGATGGGCAGAGAGAGGGGGGGAGGTGGTGTAGAGGGAATAAAGATTCAGTTCCAGGGGGGACCTCTTGTGCTGCAGGGCAATCAGGCTAGGAGTAATCCAACGAAAAGCTGAAACATGTTACAACAGCACCTTGTAATGGTGGCACAGTGTTTATTAACAACACTAAGTGATTCAATCTGAGCCTTTACTTATATACTGTAGATCACAAAACATGTCGGACATGTAAACAGTGAGGTTTCTAGAGCTGCTTTATTTCCTTTTTTTTTTGCAAGGTTAAGGACCTCAGTATGTTAAAACCTAGAACTGTTTTTTTTGTTTAGGAGGATCACTATGTTGAAAATGTTATCTGAAAAAAATAAGTCAGCAGGGATCATTTTTGTAAACGGTCAAATTGATTCAACGTTAAAAGTTTTTAAGATTGCTTAACTAATTATCTGAAGCAATGGCAGCCTGGGCACTAGTTGCACCATTTTAATGATGTCAGCAAGTAGTGATTATGTTTGATTTGATTATTTTTGCCATTTCCAAAAAAAGAAGAAGAAAAAAGCACAAAAGATAATTCACAATAAAATTAGAAATCGAGATCAGATTAAAAGTAGGTATAAAATCACAAATATGATTTCAAGGAAATAATATATAGACTTAAACACAAGTAATGCCACTCAATCATCACTATGGGCCGCTGTACATGTGTGGTGCAGAGACCCTGTCCTCTGTATTTTGATGTTTTGGTTGACACATGATGTTTCTGGGTAGGGAGCTGGTGTGTTTCCCTAAGCCAATGACAGGGCGCATGTGAGTTCAGGATTGGATTCAATTAAGCGATTTTACGCAATTCAAAACCTGTAAATAAGACGGCCGTAGCAAAGACAAAATATTATGGTCAAAGTGAGGGAAATGCCAAATGGATAAAGCTCTTTCAAAAACGTAGGGATGAACCTTGTTTATCCTTTCACCAGCAGAATTTAGAGTTTGTCTGTTTTCTGTTGGACACTCGGGGTGCCAAACACAGGCGGTTAGCTTGTGCTAACGTGCTAAATAATCAGCTTTTTCCATTATAACAAATGTAATAGGCCTATACTCTAGCATGCAGTGTAGCTACAGGCAGTTAATGTTACACGCTAAAGTCCTGCAGTGGTAGCCCAGGAGGAGCGGCCCACTTTAAAAGTTGTGTTTACAAGCTGCAATGAACATTTCTACTGACTCTACCTTTAACACTGAAAGAGTATCCGTTTTATTATTAAGACCCAAAAACATTATCAAAATGAAATAAAGATTGAATTATGTTATTGAGACTACAACTACTCCGGATTGTGGAAATACATCTTAATAATGTAAGATAATCCTGACTCATCATAATCATCATAATGATAATACAGAGAAAATGTGACTCTTCCCCAATTTATCCTCATTTGAATAATTTGCCAATTCGATTACTTAAGTAACAGCGACCTTAACCAAAATGATACATCAAGTGGCTGCAGATACAAAAGTTAGCAACATGCTGCAAAACTACCATTGAAAATCAACAGAACACTTTGTGATTCTATGGTCAGGTTGTTTTCCAATTCATCTCCGCAAAGACAAGTTGTGAGTTTCTTGATAAAGAATCAGTCAGTGTGTCCCTGCCTTTTTCCCCAGTGCGTGCTCATACTTGAGCCTGTAGAGCTTCTCACGCACACTGCCTCGATAAGGAGTGTCACTCTGCTCATGTTGTGCCCTGCGACAAACTCACAGTGCTGCAAGAGACCTGTTACATCACGTCACACACTTAACATACTGTACAAAACATGCACACATCAAGGCGCCGAGGGGCTCGGGAGCACCAGGGTAACCCCTGGTATGCAAACAAAAGAGATCCTTGACAAACCCCCCCCTGTCCCCAAAATACAAATTCACAGCTGCTGATACAGAGTCATACCACTGACATGACTACTCACCAACAAAAGCATTGCTACTCTTTATGACCTGGCTGTTATGGGCCAGTATTTCTAAATTCTAATGACCCATTATTGGATTGGCCCTAAAATGAAATCTGCCTCCGTCTGGTGTCCGGGGCATCAGATGGATTGATCGAGCTGCCGGTGCAGATGGCGGTCTGGCAGACTGCTGGGACATTCGTTAGCATGGAGCTGTCATCATAATGTTTCTGGTCAGTGTTGACTGTGACTCTGCCACAACAGATGACTCTGGTTCCACTTCTTTCCTCCCTCTGTCACCAAACTAAAGTGATGCTTTTTTGTAATAAAAATCTCTCTGAACTAAGATGGTTAAATGTGAACGCAGCGGCTGCTTCGGGGGGGCTGTTGTTGTCGTTGTGCTATTTTTGACAGCAAGCTTACGGAAGGTAATTAAAGTAATCAGCGTTTACATTGGGAGGCAGCTAAGCATTTGATGGGAATTCTTTGTTGATGATTTTATGCTTGCTCCGTAAGGCAGCTCATTTGCATCTTATTTTGTCGGGTATTTTGGCGTCTCTGCAACACCTTTGATGGTAAACTATTAGAGTTATTTTCAATGACAAAGAATACCACCAAATAACTGACATCAGACGACGCCTGTGGAAAACATTTATTCTGTCATTTTAGATTAAACACCACATTTTGCATATCTCTGATGATAGTGCAGAGTGACATTTTAGAGCCATGTTACTGTTTGCAGATGAGTCAGAACAAACCAAATACACAACATCTCTAATATCAATAATAGGATCGCAGTTTAGGTAGATGGCTGTTCATCATGAGCCTGGTTTTGCAGGATTTCTGCCTCTTAAAAGGAAGTGTTTTATTGCCACTAACTTTGCTAAAACAGTCAATCCGAGTTGGCTATCCTGCCAATGTACAATTATAAAGTCCAACAGTTACTCTTAAGTTATTGTCTTAATAACTCAAGATGTCTGCCTGGTAAAAGGACATTTTTTCTTGCCACATGATGGATTCATGTTGGGTCTTTGTAGATAACATAAGAGTAAGGTCTTTGACCTGCTCTTTTGTAAAGTGTCTTGAGATAACATTTGTTATAAGTTGGTGCTATTCAAATAAAGATTGATTGATTGATTCACTCCTGGGAGACACATCCTGGGCGGTTTAGATGCTAAATGTTTGTTTTCGTTTCACTAGCTAGCTACGAACTAAGCTGCCACCCAATCATTCCAATCCTTAATTTATAGCCTGAAATTAGAAAAAGAAGCTAAAACAGGCTGAAAAACAGGGTAATCATTGCCTTTCTGCCGTGCTTTATTCGTGAACTCTTAAACATTAGGATCACTATGCAGGGACTTAAGACATTATGTGCAGTGAATGGCAAGATAAGATTATTTGATCTATTTTGAATAAGTTAATTTATTTTGTGTTATGTTAATCCGATTTGTCATGTAAATCATTCAACACCCCGAGCGGTTTTAGTGTCTTTCCAAGCATCGTAGGCATCTCGACATGTGTTCTCTAAACGTGCTCTTGGAACTCCCATTTGTTCCAACTGTCCATCATGTAAATTTAGGACATGGAAAGAATGGAGGATGCCTGCTTTGTTTTGAAAAGCACTTTCCTAAAAAAAGAAAGAGGGGCTCTCCCCCTCTTCTGTTAAGTAATGTGTATTTTTAAAATGGCTGTCTTCATCTCAACTATAAATGTAACCCCTGATCAGTGACAAATAAGCTAATTCCACTCAAGCTCATTGTCTGTACTGTTGTTTTCAAGAGATTCATTCAGGAGAAAAAAAAAGCTGATAAATGGAAAGTGTTTTTGCTTAAATTTCTTGCTTTGGCCACTCAACCTCCTTTATAATTTCATATAAATGAGAACTCTTTGAATTTTCTATTCCAACTTGATCTTCAGTGTCCAAAATCTCTCTTAGACTACCGCATTAATCACCAGTAATATCAACGAGACAAATTCCACACTATTTCTTTCAACTGTGGTGAATGGAGTGATGATTAAGACGACTAACTCCCTGCCGTTATCTACCCCTAGGTTCCACTCATCTCGGTGATCAGCGCACCACCTCAAGCCCGAGCTCGCCCTCCTCCTCTCCCCACACCCCCAGTGCCCTGGACAGTGGTAGCTCTGATCCAGTGCTGAACGGAGGCCTGTGCTCTGCCGCTTACTGCAGCTCAGCAGGGGGTAGGTACACCCAGAGAGGAAGCTACCACTGCAGAAGAAGAGAATCAATCACCCCACGGGGGACTGAGAGGAGGTCATTAATGGGTAGTAGCAGATGCCATCCTGCAGTAGTTAGGAGCAATGGCCAGCACTTCATTGTCCCACTGGTGCTGCAGCTGGATGCAGGAAAATGTTCAGCACGAGTCACAAAGCAGGGTTATGTAAATGGACCTGACTCAGTATCTTTTTCTTTGAGAGGATGCAAGACACCAGACTTAAACAAAACTTACTGCACAACCAGGCCCTATATTAAAGGCTTTCTATGTGATTTTTCTAACTTAAATATAATATAAATCAAGTATATCCTCTGAAAATAACTCTGTGAGTCATGACTGTCTACAATGGGTGTAACACCCGAGTCCCACTGTCTGTGATGTTTTCAGAGTTTTCAGAGTCCTATCTTCAGTTTGTTTACATCGCCAGGACGGCCAGCCGGCTCATCCCCTCGTGTATAAAAGTTGTTTAATTGAGGGACTAGAGAAAAGAAGAATAACATACTGTACTCACTGCTTAACTGTGTTTCTAGATCACGCTCATTTCAGGTCAATTTACATGCAGTGTGAAGATACGAGCATAATAAAGATCACTAGCATTAGCATGCTAACACAACAATGCAGCGCAAGTTGTTTTGGTTTCATGCTGGTGCTCAAGGGCGACATCTACTGGATCAAAAAATTGCATATAAAGCCTTTAAGAGTCGACATTGCCTCTTAAAATTTATCTCGCTAAAAGCAAAAAAAAACAAACGCAAGCAATAGAAATCAACACTTTAAAATTTGTATGTGGTTTAGTACAGATTTAGTAATTGCCCAAAACAACTTTTAGTAGTAGCTTGGTTTTCAGAAACTTTGTGATACTTATACGTAGCTGTTTCAAAATACAAGTAAAATAATGTGATATCAAACAGAAAATTATTTGACTATTATGTGTCCCTTATGTGTGTGTTTTTTTTTAATCTTTTAATGTCACCACAGGAACAACCCCAAATTCACCAGTCAGCCTCCCGAAATCCCCCACGTTCCCAGCAGGCCGCGGGCCTTGGTCTGATGAGTGCTCCATCTGTTACGAGAACACGGTGGACACGGTGATCTACGCGTGTGGACACATGTGTCTCTGCTACACCTGTGGCGTCAAACTCAAGAAGATGTCCAACGCCTGCTGTCCCATCTGCAGACGGCAAATCAAAGACATTATCAAGACCTACCGGAGCACATAAGGGGGACAGGACGCCTAACGGACAGGACTGCCTTCCTTAAAAATAAATCGGCATAATCCCAGTGCCAGGGAAATTAATGTCTCAGTTCAGGGAATATGAACTCTGGTTCATCCAATTCTAGTTGTTTGAACCTTTTCCAAAGCTGGTACTGTGTCTCTGGAGGGTCTCTTTCTTTTTAGAGGTGACGTCACAGCATCCCTGCAGACGGTGCACTGTAAGAGGCATGGGAGGTTCCACTGAGAACTTCATTTTTGCCAGAAATGTTCACTTTCTCTTGCATCCTGACTGACTTTGAGACAAAAAATTCTTACACTCTGTAGTTGGTTGAGCCATGTTGTACGATTTAGGGAACGCTCCGGAGCAGATTAGTCACTTTGGGGCTGAATGTGTCAACAATAGTTCTCTAAGAAGAAGCTCTGAAATATGTCTCCGACCTGGTGCGGACTTCTGACATCAATCAAGACGAGCCCACCTTGCAGCAGGTTACATCTCAGTATGACACAACTTGTGTCTGTGTGTGACTGAGATGTGAAGACAAGAAATCGGTCTAGTAACGATGTAGTGATGGATTTCTGTAATTGTCGTGGTGATTTATCAGTCAGTGATGTGCTTAGAGATGCAAGACAGTGCTGAGTCAAATTTTAAATAGGATTGTAAAACCTCTTTTTACTTGTGTAATCTAATGTACCGTAATGGTAGTTCTATTGCAAACGTCGGTGGTAGCTATGTTGTTAGGCTAGCTGCTTGCTCTGCAATGTGGTATGTTGCACTGAAATCGGCTTCATCCTCTCAAAAAAACAAAACAAAAAAAAAACGCCCTGTTATTGACAGAGGATAATGAAAAACCTGCGTCCAGCCAACTCAGCAGCTACAAATCCACAAAAAAAAAAAAAGAAACCGGAAGTGATTCTCCTCAGGGTTAGCAATCTTTTGTAAGAAGATTTGAATTATTTCCCCTAACTTTTCCTGTATACCCAGGCCTTGTACACTGTGAGCGCTCATGACAAAAAGGGAGTTCCTCTTAAATAGTTCCCCAAAATACAACATTACGTCAAAGGATTGTTGCTATGATATCAGGATCAACCACAGATACAGTACAGCCTCCTGCCTTAACCCAGAAATGGTTCAGTTGTCACATGCAGATGTGTCATATTCTGTGTTTTTCCAAAGCCCCTTAAAAAAAAAAAAATGTACCAAATGATGCTGTTTGTGTGCCACACACGGCTTTCTCAGAGGGAACAAAAAGCACACAAAATTCAAGATATTTTTGTAATGTAAATCTATGACATTTCAAATATTTATACACTTCACCAGCAACAATCCTTTATAGAACTCAGTTCAGGGGCTCATATTTTTAATATTTCTACAATAACTATCCCCTTTAAATTCATGATGAAATGTCTGTACACCCCCCTTCTGAAATGTCAACTCAGCATCTTATAATAGCTTATAATATAACACGACATCACTCGAAGCTGAGATTCTCTATTTTCTTTTTTTGTTCAATCTACAATAAACTTTATTTTGTAAAAAATCAACACATGGGGCTCAAACCTATGCTGCTATTGTATTCGCCAGCTGTCCTTTTCTGGGCAAAACGCCATCACCAGTGATGACACATCTCCTCTTCGTCCAACTTTTACACTTTGATTACGCTACAGCTTGAAGTGTTAAATCACATCTGAATGTTATCTTTATGTATTTAGAGAGTTATTTTTTATCAGTGTGCGTGAGCTGTAAAACAAAACAAAAAAAAGTATTTTTTTTTGTCATTATGATTCTGAAATGTTTCCTTGTTCATCCAAAATCACAAGAATCTAAATCCATTCTTGTTTCCTAATAGAGAGAATATAGAGAGTTGCTTTTACCGACGCAATAAGAAATATTGCAGTACACAATCAGAACCTCATTGCTTCGGTGTGCAAGTTTTAAAATCTTGGTTATATTACAATTTCTGTATTCCAGATGGGTTTTTTTGTTTTGTTTAGTAATTTATCTTTTTGTGTGTGAGCCCAGTTTAGAGAGCCCTCCTATCCCTTTCTGTATTTATAATTCTTATCATGATATAGTCAGAAAGCCATCACTGTATGGTAAAATGATAAATGTCACTTTATAAAGCTACTGATTGTAATCTTGTAAATGTTTTTTATGCCACCTCTGCTTTGGCTCAACTATGGCTTGTTTTATTCTGTGCAGACTCTCCGACCAAATTGTCTTTATTTTAAATACATTGTAAAAAAAAAATGTAATTCCCTCTTTGCAAAATCCTGTGTTCAATTTGGGTCAGCCATCATTATTCGGACCACATTGTTTGGTAATTAAGCTCCTATTTTAGTAAGAGTTAGGAAATGATTTGTCTGAAGTTTTTATCACATGTAACTGATCTGCACAATCATTTTCTGTGAAAGGATGTAATGCCATTTTTTAGTTTTGAGATATATTTTTGAATTCAAATGAGTCCACAGGCTCCTTGAATGTTTCTGATCCTGTAATTTGATATTTATTTATTCCTCCGAACCTGCTTTGCTGGAGTGTTTTCTTTCTTTCTGCATTGCAACTATAGGATACGAGTGTGTCTGGGGAAATCTTACAGCAGCACATTAGAGATTCTTTCTGTAGATTCTTGGTACTTTTTTTTTTTTCAAACATGCATGAGTTATCGGTTTACTACTCTGCGTGAACATCGGGACCAACTTAAGACTAGCATCAGAGTGGAACACTGTTAGTGTTAATGTAGACTGGAACCAGTGGCTAGAAATAATGTGTATATATAGCCATTGTTGTGACACAGCAAGCAAACCTGTATTTTCTTTCTTTTTCTTTTGAAACAACAAGTGTTTGTTTGTGAGCTCTGATCTGTGTGAGTCGGATGATTGTGGTTAATAAACTTTCCAGATGTGTTTGAGCATTGTTTTTGTTTGATGTGTTTTCTTAAAGCTGCATTCATTTCTCTTTTTTTCGCCCACCTTTGGGTAACACGACAAGCTGCAGACATCTCGAGAACAATTGTGAAGAATCATCAAGCCTTAGCATGCCAACATTGAGATCCAGAAAACACTGAGCAATATAAGCAGTCGTCAGGGGTGTGTCCAGATGTGCTGGACTGGGGTGGCCCAACTGGTGTAGTGACTTGTGAAGGGGTAGCCTGAAGTTTGTGCGCACACATCTGAATGAAGGACATTTATTTACCCCGTCTGTCTGCACCAATCACAAATAGACTTTCACTTACAGAAGATAATGGCACCATACAAAATAAAAAAATAAAAAAATTGTAAACAAACATCTGCACACTGAAAAATATCAGCTGCCTGTTGCAACAAAGCATGAATAGTGGATTTCAACCTCTGACAAGGAAAATAGCTTATCATTGTGTTTTGGGGTTTGCACCTGGGGTGACCAATACGATTTCAATGGGGTCCCATGCCACCCCTCTGGACATGCCCCTGGCAGTCATTTCAAGTTATGTTTCTATTTTCTCTCTTTCTTTTATAAGCTCTGTTCTTGTCTCGACCAACGGCTAAAAAAAACGTAAGCCACATTGTTGTCAGCCTTGAATCAAAAAAACTTTTCTTGTGATTTCACCGTTGCAGACATTTTTCAATGTTGAGAATATAATAAAGAGACTTATGTGCATGCATTCCAGAAATGATGTTTTTTTTGTTAGATGGACATTGAGCTTAGTCTTAACTCTTTTAAGTCAGTCGTTTTCCAGTCTGGACATTTCAATTGTCAAAATAGTTGTGTTTTTTTGTTTAATGGTGGCCTTACTCTTACAACTTTCAAAGACACATTTCCAAAGTAAAATCCTGAGAGTTTTGCTAGAGTTGGGGCGCACTCCTGTGATCTTGGTTGTTTTGTGTAAGGGGGTCATAGAACTTAAACCAGGCGGTTGTAATGAAGTCTTTTTCTCGTCTTGGCTTTACCATAACATCAAACTTCTTTAATATTACCACTTTAGTCTTCTCTTATACAAGTTGAGTTGTTGACATCACCTTGTCAACACCTATTGGAGAGATTTGGCCAGCACCAAACAGGAAGATGTAAAAAGGCAACATAGCATTGAGGCAAAGGAACGTGCAACTCTCCTGGACTGTGGAAAAGGAGGAGAAACTAATGTCCTCCCCTTTGTACAACAACAAGAGTGTAGAAGGAAAAAAGGTGGACAGAAATTGTTGTTGCCATAGAAATCCCCCTTGAGTATGTTATAGTTCTGGTTTCTAACCGTGAATATGAACTCAATCATTATTGTCTGGATTTCGAGGGGCCACAGCAATTACTTTGAACCTTTTTCCTTCTCCATTCTGTCATGGTACAAAAGAGAGGACAGGTCAGACAGTCTTGCCCTCTCCAAAACTCCACCAGTTTCTCCTCCTCTTCAGTTTCCTGCTCAAAAGTTGTAGTTGTAAATCTCCACCAGGTGCATGATGGAAATAATCTCAATAGGAATCTAATTATAATCATCCAGTTAATGACGTTGTAAGATCTTAAAAAGTCTGTGGGTTGCTGACACGTGGTATTTGGATGTGAGAGGGTTTCAGACATCAGTCTTTAAGTATATGAAAAATAATGTTTTTTTGTGTTTTTTACATATAAAACTATATAAGTACTCAAACTGGCATTTAAAGGTTTAAAATCCTGAAAATTAATATTGTTTTTATATCAATCAACAGATCTGGAGTTGGTAAAAAAAAATGAAGTCAATCAAAGTAGGAAAAAAACATTACTGTATAATACTTTTATTGCCATTTATGAACGGCTGTCGTGTTTTGCCACGATGACTCTTAAAATAGTACTTTTAAAATAGATAGTCTGAAGGTTAAATTCTTTAAGTCTAAAATATTTTCTAATGCATGACATTTAATGTGGTGTAATTATGGTCAACAATGAATAGATTTATTCCTTCCAATACAAAACGGGAAGCAGCAACATGGACAGAAGATCAAAATCCAAGGCACTGTACACATGGCTGCTCAACTCAACCTAACATGATTGTTGAATGCATGCTAGCTACAATGACAGTGAAAGCATGGTGATGGTAAGTTCCAGTTAAAGGGATACTTCACCTGTTGAAACATGAATCTGTATTGACATTGGGGTCATATATGTAGTAGAAATGTGAAATACATTTTGAAGTTGGTGCCTTCTTGGCCGTGAAAAGGCAGAAAGTGTATTTTTGGCTCATGTGGATGAAAGACACCAAATACCAGAATGCACAGCACTGCAGGCCACTCCCACTAAGGTCCGAATCAGAATCAGAAATACTTTATATACTTTACAGTATAGTAGTAGAAATATAGTAATAAAAACATTTACAGACATATTTACTTCAACACATAAGACCATTTCCTCAATTGATTTAGAGATTTCTTCCAGAAGGAATTGGTATCTTGGAAATTCCTGGCAGAAAACAGACTCTATGTCTGTGTCCATAGGCAAACAGTGAGAGCACTGACACTACCAGTCCGCCCCAGCTCGAGTCGGCCCGGGCTCCTCGTCCTCACCACGGCGGCAGCCAGCAATAAAGCCGCGAGATGGCTGCTGCCGACAGGCCGGTCTTGTGTCTCAGCGAGCGGCCAGCAGCTGCCCCGGTGGGTGGCCGCAGCAGCCAAACACAAGACCGGCCTGTCGGCAGCAGCCGTCTCGCCGCTATATTTATATTTTCGCCATTATCAGCTATCTCCATAGAGCCTGTTAGCATAGCTTCCAAGCAATGTGGCGGACGATTCTGGGAGTGAGTTCCCACCCACTGATCTGTGATTGGTCTGTAGCTTCAGTGGTCGAAAATATGAGGAACTAGCATTGTAGTTTCACCCCGCTAACCGGAACAGCTTCCAGTGATGCAAAAATCGTCATTTTGCGTCACTGGAAGCTCCTTTTCAGACTCAGAAATACAAAGATTTCCCATCTCAGGGGAAAATGAGGGCGGGATGCACGACCATTCAAAATACTACCAGGTTTCTAATGATACAAATATTAATGCAAATGGGTGAAGTATTCCTTTTAGGTAATTAGAGCTGAGAAAGTTCCCACCTGGCTGGACACAAACAAATACGGTAAAGTGGCTTAAAGGCTCTGTGGAGCTAAGGGAAAACAGATTAGAATGACGTTTATTTGACGGTTACTACATTCTGTGTTTGACTGGCAATGACTCAGTCAAACATGTGGTCTTGTAACTAACAAGGTCTGGCATGAACATCACATCAAGTATATCTTCACTAAGCAAACACATTAAAGCTCATGCCACTGCAAGATCAAATACTATGTCTATAAAGGCTGCTTTGCCTTTTATACCTCACATTTGGTGTTGTCCTGAATTTCACAATCTGAATAATTATGCAGCTGTGTACTAATGGGCAGTAGCTCTGTCATGCCCTTCTGCAGGAATGATTACATGCTCAAGCTGTGCTGGTTCATTAATGCTCTGTGGCTCTGTGCAGCAGAAATGTCCCATGAGTCACTAAGGGCCTGCTTATATCTTTCAGTTTTACCTTTTCCTTTGTGCAATACATGGAAAATAGAAATGTTGGAACCCACATAAAAGTAACATACTCTGGTGTTCTACCCTTAGGCTGCCATTGATTTCGACTTCTGGAGAGTGACATCAAATGGTGGCACCAGTCTTTTTCACATTTGTTTGACCCCGCACAGAGATAAACACGTCTTCTGTTCAATTTGATTTGATAACCCATGATTTATGAATGGTGTTTACTCCATCTGAAAGGCAAAACGATTTAACAAAGCTTACTTTCTTTCACTGAGACACTTGAATACCAGTAGCAAAATTGAGATCAGGTTTATCTCTGATATAAAAAAGATAACAATGATTAAATGGATAGGTCTGTTTTTTTTACAAAAGGGGGGATTTTACAAAAGGTTATCGCAGAAGCTCCTTTTTTTCCAGTTCTGAAACCTTTCTTCAGTAAACCTCTGATCAAAGTTGAACCATCAAAGGTTCCTGGAGGATCCCCTAAGCATTCAAGGTTCCCCAGAGTTCCTTGGGGCTTTCCTACTGTGAACATAGGTTCGGAGTGTACATCACTTCTTCATTACAAACTGAGACCTTCATCAGATTTATCTGATGCTTTGACTTTGTTTCTGTCCCTTCATCAGCACTTGAAGGTTTGCTTTGTTGACATATACTGTATGTGCTTTTAAACGTGTTGCCTATGGCGTCTTTTTGTGGTATGGTTGTAGGTTGTAAATAGGCTGAATAAACCGGGACACCAAGACTTACAGCCACTTCTGAATAGGCAATTAGAGGAGATAACCATATGACTATCTTTGGATATAGCACTATGTTTTATTTGCAAACTTGTATATTTTCTTATGCCATTTTCAGTCATCAATGTACTGTAAACTTCTAAAATGTAAAGTTAAGGGGTACCGGTGGTGTGGTGGTTAGCGCATGCGCCCCATGTGCGGAGACTGTTTTCCTCCAAGCGGGCGGCCCTGGTTCAAATCCAACCAGTGGCTCCTATCCCGCATATCATTCTCCACTATCTGCCCAATTTCCAAATCTGTCCACTGCCCTGTGTATTTGTACTAAATCCCCCAAATAAATCTATGAAAACAATGGACCAATGTACCTTCTGGCACTTGGCTGTCCTAATTGAATGTACTGTGTTGCTTTCTTATCAACAGAATTCTACGACACTGCATCATCACCACACAGACTCTAAACTAATTCTTCAGCCCCATGTCTCTATTTCAACCATGCATCAGGAAATTGGAAAAAAACATTTTTCACTCGTTATGTTTCCCTCCACCACACGCCTCAACAAGATTCTCTTTTTTCTTTTACACACTTTGCTTCTCACCATTACACATGAAGCTGAGCTTTCCTGCTCAAAGTAACTGAAAATAATTGTGATTTCTTCTATTGAACCTGAGTGAAAATAGTTTTTACGACTT